CAGCCCGCCGCCAGCGCACGCCAGCCGCACAGGTGGGACCGAGGGGGGCGGGGGGCGGGGGTGGGGACCCGCGCGGCGGCGGGCGGTGGCAGGGCCCGGCCCGACCCAGCGGCGGGCCCGTCAGGCCGCCCTCGGCAGCACTGGGCGACAATGGGACACCTCAGCCGGCCGGCCGCGGCCGGCTGTTGTCGTTGGACGACAATCAAGAATCCGGCGGCGCCGGCCGGCCGGCAGCCTTGGAGGCAGCCGGCGCTGCCAGGGCGGGCGGCCGGCCCGTACCCCGCGCCCGGGGGCTGGGCTGACCCGGCAGCCACGCCACCACGACCGGCCGCCGTCGCGTGACCTGGCACCGCCGCGCCACATCACGAGTCCCGGCCGCGCGACCGCCCCGCCAGGCCCGCTCCATACGACACCAACACGCCGATGGCGGCTCTGTTTCGACGGCGGACACGACCCTGCTGGCGTTCGACAGCCCGGCCCCATTTAGACGTCATTAGCCAGTGCGAGCGGCGTCAGCCGATCTCAGATGTCATCCGACGATAAAATAGCCGCCGATTGCTTCCGCGGGGCGGGCGGTCGATGGTCACGGCGGCACGTGCAGCGGGCAGCGCGGCCGCCAGCCACCAGCTCGGCACGCATCGTCCATCCGCCCGGCGGGCCGCCGCCAACAGACGGGACGCCACAAATTGAATCGCGGGCACGCTTCTTCTCACGCTTTCCTGCAGCTTAAAAGCATTGCACGCGATAATATTTGCGTATATGTGCGAGGCGGCAGACGTTCCAGAAGGACAAAGTCGCATCTGCCAAATCGCCGTCTAAAAACAGTCCAGATCCGCAGTTCACCGCGTGCGCCAACATAACAAGGCAAACAGCTGGACCGGTCAAAGATCAATGCTGACGAGGCGAAGTGGCGCTCTCTGACGCATTGCCTCCCCCTCAGTACAAATAATGGAGAATCCAGGGTACATCAGCAACGGTATGGGACACTCGAACTTGGCTGCAGGCTGTCCGTGAAAATCTCTCAGGATACTGGCCAAACCAATGGCTGCAAGGTGGAACCATTAGCGAGTCAACAAATAATCTATTTGGCTAGAAAAGGTCATTGCGACTAAACTCAACCCTAGACGTAAATACAATCCCTGGTAATACAGCAGCCTCATCAGCGACCAGACTGGAAACCAGCATGATTCATCCCAATTTCGAATGATACCAGATTGTTTCTCACAGTGATTCGAATCAGGGATCACTGTCTACATCCCCCCGGCTAACCGCAAGCCGTTTTGTTCTCAGAACCCAGCGACGCCCCTCCGTTCACTCCGGCCGGACAGGTGACGCGCCCCGCCGCCGCCTCCCCATCGCCGCCCACTCGGGACGGGCCCCGCCCCTCATCCAGCAGCAGGCAAGGTCGGGCGGCTCGCCGGCAGCGGTCACACACATACACACACACACACACACACACACACACACACACACACACACATGCGCGGCGTCGTCATCGGACCAAATACGGGCGGCGCCGCGTCCCGATACAAGGTGAACCGGTCTCGGCGGTGGTCACGGTCCCGCCGGCGCCGCCCGCCACCGTGACGGCGCACCGCCCCCTCCCGTACAGGGCTGCCGGCCGGCCGGCGGGGAGACGGCGGGCCGACAGGGTGGACAGGGTGGACAGGGTGGACAGGGCGGACAGCCGGTGGGCGCGACGCCGGCTGGACTGGTCATGGGACCACATGGCTGCTGAAAGCCCCATTACGACCCCCGTTAAGCCGCTGACATTGGACGGATCGCGAACGTTCTCAGTCGGCAGGCGGACCACTAGTCCTCATCAGATGAGGTGGTTCATCATCATAAGCATTGATTAAACCAGCCATTGTCTCTGATGCAAGAGCAAAAGTTTAAATTTCACATAAGGGATGGAATCAGAACAAACCAGACAGAAAAGTTATAGACCCTATGCAAGCCTAAAAATGAATACAATGGGAAGTTTGACATCATTTACTGGCACAGCTCTGTCAACAGACAAGAACTATAAGTGACCACTCTAATTTTGCTACTGCAACCAGAGCTAAAACAAAAATGATTTACAAGCACACTAACCATTGAATATTGCAAAGTGTTTCAGCTGGCCTAGGGGAGCAGGAAGACTCATATCACATCAAACATAGCCACCAAATCATCACCAAGAAACCTCACATGAAACTTAAACCATTTTCCTTGTAATGCAAGACTTGATAGCTTAATTCAAGACAAGTCAGCATATGGCACTTAACCTGCATGTCTCAGCACCAAAGAAAAATTATGTAAGTACTTCTAAGCCCTGGATGACTCCCCTTTTATGTCATAGCATGCTTATGGTAAAATTTTTGGCCATGTCCAGCACATAACATTGTGAAGAGTTGACTGCTGCATACATGAGTGCACTTTCTAAAATGTGGTACTACCATCCTATGCACATAATCAAAATATGTGCAAGCTGGTCTTGATTAGGCCTTTGAAAATATTGCACAGGAAACTGCTGACACATCCCAAAATTGCAAACCAAATGAAGCAGAATGCTGCCAAAGGAAATACAGGTTATGTGATCTTGTTCCTATAAATTTTAAGATGGCTATGGGCTTCACACTGGCTATAATACAAAAATGTAGCCACTAAAGCCAAGTGACACAAACTGAAGCAGCAGACAAGGCAACATGAGACCAATTTTTGTTGAGTTTGTCCAAATACTACATTAGCTATCAGCTAAGACAAGATATACCAGAAACAATTTGACAATTTTGACAAACAAAAGACAACTCGGCTGCTTTGAAACTAAATCAGGCCATCATTCAACTTGCTTGCAGGTTTAAGACAGCTTGCTTCATACATTGCATAAAGTTCCATTTCTGATGTGAAAGCTAAAAAAATGAACTTCTTCACCAGCTGGGTGCAGCATGTAATCTACTTTCAGATCAGCAAACCAGCAGACGATCCATTATACAAAGTATGAAATAGTAAAACCCTTACAGAACCCTTACTTTGCATTTCTTACTTAAAAACCAGTGCTGAACTGGCCTCAAGGACTCTGATTGACTGGCTTTTCTGAGGCAATATTCCTTTGTTTGACACCAGTGCTTAGCTGACCTCAAGGATCTTGGTTCAGATTGGCCATTTTCAGACCATATTCCTCAGCTGGATGCCAGCACTTGACAGATCTCAAGGATTTGAAGTGAGACTGGTCATTTTGAGACAAAGTGTAGAAATTGATGAACAGCTATCAGACAATGAAGCATGGTTGTGAACATATTATCATGTGCAGCAGCCCTGTCACTTGGAGCACTGAGATGTCAAAACTGATCATTTGCCACAGTGCAGTCTAACATACTATAAACCTTGCCTCCTAAGATTGAAATATACACAGACTTTTGACCAGCACCTCAGCTAGGCTGTGTACACAATGCTTGTTACCTTTTCCTTTACTCTCCTGCTTGTTGCCACAGTGTAGGATTTCATATTTGCAAGTAGGGCCCATGCTTTCACATAGCACTCCAAGAGAGACCACCTATGACACCTTTCACCAGCACTAAGTGACTATTTTTAGCCCAGCTGAACTTGGCATACCCCTCAACCAGCACCATCTGTTGAATCACATGTGCACCTGCATCCAAAACCTGGGCTTTCAGGACAGGATGCAGGCAGGTAAGCTCTGAGGTGGAACCATAGACAACCCCTGTTACCTTCTACATTATTTGCTTGGTGAATCGGAGTCCTAACAATAACCATAAGTGATTATTCTAATACTTGGCACGACTTCAACATGATAGCAAAATGAACCCGGCCCCACTGCTGCCACAGTGGGAAGGTACACTCGGCACACAAATACAAGTTTCCACAGAATGACAAAACAGCCTGATCATTGTACATGCCGAGATGAAACTCACGCAAATCGTCCGAATCCGTTGCAAGTACTCACCCTTTCTTTGGCTCTTCCTGCATGTTTTCGCACAGTTTTAGCAAAGAATTCCGGCTTTATCTCCGACATTTTCAGCGGGGAAGGCGGCGGCGATTGCGGCGCCTTGTTCCCATCAGGCGAGCGAGTTGTTGACATTGTCGGTAAATATGGACAATTCACTATCGACTACGAACGGAAGGAAACCAGGCGTGGGAAAATCAGCACCTCACGCCAGCTCCCTTACAAAACCATGCAGATTTCACGCGCGCCCCGGCAACCAGCGCGGCCCACCCCAGCAGATTATCGAGACTGGTGCCTGCCTCGGCCGCGCGGGTCCGCGAGCGTGCCGCGAAAACGTCAAAAGCCCTCGGGGCTCGAGGTGCCGTGCCAGGATGTCCTCATTCTAGCCGGGCGGCCCGCGAACAGGTGGGTACAAAAATAACACCCTGCTCCTTCTCCTCGGACACAAATACTCCTGCGGGATACATTCGCAAAAACGTCACCAAAAATTCTGACTTATCGGTTTATGGCGTAGTAAACATAGCAGCAGTGGGCACAGTCGAGGTACGAAAGATATCGGAGGCAACGTTCGGCCTGCAGTTGCACAGCACTCATCGCGGATCAGCAGGTCGTGCCAGCCTCGGCCTACAGTTGTACAGCACCCATCGCGGATAGGCAGGTCGTGCCAGCCTCGGCCTGCAGTTGCACAGCACCCATCGCGGATCAGCAGGTCGCGCCAGCCTCTTTTGCAGTCTCAGGCGACCAACATTTGTTCTGCCACGAATGTAAACGGAAAAATCTGGCAATATATCAATGTTAAAAGCACTGACGTCCCAGACAGATTTAACCTGTCCACGGCGCGTCGTTTAAAGCGTCCTGATGTGGGTCAAGATGTGCACCAGGAGGCGTGTCGAAGTAAGGGTGTGCGAGTCTCATGAGTTACCAGCCATAACAAAACACATATTACCGAATGGCACCTTTGTACTGCTTCCACGATTATTTTACGAAGGTAACCTACATCCTTTCGTCGCAGACAGCTGGCAACGATCGCACTGGAACGCGCCCAAAAACGGCGTTATTAATAAAATGTATTTAACACCAACAAGAGCACGAACCCACACACCCATTCCACACAAAATCGTAAGCAGTTGCAATTTTACTGCAACATAAAGAAACCGGCAAGCATGCCAAACCCAGTGACAAACAGCACATTTTGGACGAACTCCTACAAGCGGCTGAACAGCCGAACATTTACCAAAAAATAAGGCATCACTCGCTACAATACGTGTCAAACGTGCCGTGGAATACGCCGATACAGAAATGCTGACGTTTGTGAGCCCTGCCCAGCACGCACCAGACTTGTGACAAATCAAAGTTCGCACAGATCCCGCCGACTCTCCCTGATCGGAGGGCAGCTTTCGAATCAGTCAAAATCAGCCGATTCGTCCCACCCGCCAGCCAATTCCGCTCTGTCGGCAGCCATCGGCCCGCCTCCCGCCGATGCCCGAGCCCTCGCAGCGCCGGCGTTCACCGCACACCGTCCCGCATCTGAGGGCGGCCGATACCGACATGGTCCGTGTCTGCCGGCCGTACTGCTGCGCGGCTCTGTGACCGGCTGGCGCGGTGCAACCACCCCACACTCCGCCCACATACATGGCGGAGTGGGGGGTGGTTGCATCGACATGTTTCCGCCTAAGGCCGCGCCCGTCACCAGGCGGGGACCGCGGGCGACGCGTGACCCCGCCCTCCGGCAGGCCGCCCGCACAGCCACGAGACCTGCGGACGGGATCACCCGAACCAGTGCGGAGCGCGGCCACGGTGTCCGACGGCCCTGCTCTCCGTGCCGGCCGCGTCCCCTGAGGCTCCGGCCCGAGTACGCGTCCCCAGCACACCGCAGCGCCCTCTGTCGCGGGCCCGCCGCACGCCAATACTGATCGCCCTCGATCCATGAGTGCGGTGCTAACCCGGTGCCCGTACTCTCGGGTAAGCTGCTGCGGTGAAATAAGGGCGTGGGCACACAGACAAGAATGTCCTCATTTTTATGTCGTCTTGAGCTGAACTAAGGACTCCGCCGGGTATCACGAACGCTCTGCCTAAAACGTCCCCTCTTTTACGCTATGAACCGGGCGGGCCATTCCAAAGAAATGAGCCAACGCCAGCTTTCAATAGTTTTAATGACTTAGCGCGAAATCACGAGGCCGGTGATCTAACGCATCTTGCCGCGCGCTGTCAGCGCGGTAGGTAAGTTCGTCACCGGGCTCCCCACGGAAATCAGACCGCCACGGATGCCGCGCCCGCGTCTCCGCGGACGGCGGCCGGGGTTCACAGTCGGCAGCTGCGGCCGGCGCCGGGGGCGGGGCGTTCGCGGGCGCCCCTCCGGCCCCGCAGCAGTGGCGCCGCCTATGTCCTGGCGGCCGGCCGGCGGCCCTTCATCACGACCGGCTGGTTCTTCAGCGCGCCGCGGCGCCTCTTGGTGGTCTGCCGGCGGCGGATGGCGTCAGGGCACAGCGAAGCACGTGAGGCAGGGACGAGATGATCCAGTCAGCCAAGCAGACGAGAGACACGCTCGAAACTCACTGCTCCAACGTGAACACACGAGGTCTTTTTCTCGAACGAAAAAGACCGCAAAAATAACAGCAAGTCGATCCAGTGTCAGCAACGAATTGGATTGAAATCGGTTTGTTGCAAGCATACCTTCTTGGAAAGGGTGACCTTGCCACGCTTGATTTGCCTCTTCTTTTTGGGTATGTTCGGACGGTTGAACTCATCTGGTTTCTTCACCCTGAAATCCGAATACGCCACACATTAAACCACTGGAGCTTGTACCAGAGTTGGCAGACACTGACTGAATTAGTTTCCCTCAGCCAGCGGTATGTGGTCAGAACTGGCTAGGAGTAAGTACTGGTGGCAAAATTAGCAGAAATGTATGTGCTGGAAATATACATTTTGCACTGCAAAAATAAAATGAAATATCACAACAAAATGATAAAAATGATTGCTTAGCATTTAATTGGGAATATGCTTGAAGAAAAAGCAAGCTGACTGGCTGAGAAAGGTCACAGTCTGCAGTCAAAGTCAAACCTTACAGTCAAAGGTTACTGCAAGTTTACAAGATGTACACATTTACTATTACAATGTAATGCATGTGAATCTCTAGGTGGAAGCACACAACAACTATTTAGAGGATGAGCAGTTGCAACTGATATAAGGTTCTGTGCCTACTGGTTAAGGGCTGCATGCTACCAATTATACCAGACACACCATGAGTTTATCACACTGTGCTGATGCCAAAGTTACATGTAAAAGTTACATGAGAATGGATGTGATATACATGGTTGATGTGATATACATCTGGTTGATTGACTGCAGAGGGAACACCTGATGGCTACAATTTGATCATCCATTAGACTCATGAATTGGACTGGCCTCCTGATTTCACGTTGGTTGATGCCGGTTTCAACCAGTTATAACCAGTAAACGCACATGACAGGAAGTAGCTACAGCTGGCTGAAATGCCAACTGTAGCTACATAGCTACTGTAGCCAACTGTATCGCCAACATATCAGATCAATGCACAGGACTTCAGCACATACATGCTTACAAACACCGCAACGTCATATTTCTGAAAGCCATAACTAAAAGCGATGAAACACACCATCGCCCCCCGCCCCTCGTTCCACGCGTCTCCTTAGCCCGTCACGATTCCCGAGGTGCTGTGAAGAAAGCTAGAAGCATCCCCTAATCGGTACGCGCCTCAACCGATGTGACAAGGGAAACTCAGCAGAATGCATTTGGCTGGACCAGATTATGATTCCAAGACCCGCCCTATCGCCAGCGCTGGTCCCCAACTGCTACGCTGATGCCGCCCTGAGCATGGACGCTGGCTGACCATCCAGTCGACAAGCCGTTAAACTCCCCACCACCACTGCAGCGGCCACTGGTCGTCTCACCTGTATATCCTGACTAGCCAGTGCTCGGTGGTGTACGCCTCCTCCAGGTACGTCAGCCCGAAGTTTTTGTGGCCGATCTCCGAATTGCGCGTGCGGTCATATCCGGCCGGCACGCGGTAGTCGGTCTGGGGGCGGCACCAGCCCTGGTCAGCTGCCCCACCCACCGCACACTAAACACTTGTAACAACACGCCCTTACAGCTCCCCACTTTACCTCATGTCACACACACGCGCCGCGCTCGTACAGCTCCCCACTGCACCTCAGATCACACACACGCGCCACGCTCTTACAGCTCCCCACTGTACCTCAGATCGCACACACGCGCCACGCTCGCACAGCTCCCACTGTACCTCACATCACACACACACGCCACGCTCGCACAGCTCCCACTGTACCTCACATCACACACACGCGCCACGCTCGCACAGCTCCCACTGTACCTCACATCACACACACACGCCACGCCCTTACAACTCCCCACCGTACCTCCCTACATGCACAAAACACGGCCAACCAACGGACCGCGACGGAGTCAGACCACATCACTGGCTCGGATCAGGTGGACCGACCGTTGCCCGCCCGACCCCCCCCCCCTTCCCTAAAACGTACCCACGGCCCTGCCCCAGCCGCGCTCCTGCCGGCCTCGCTTACCTTCATCTCGCCGAAGCGGTAGTAGGAGAGCTTATACATGAGGCAGTTGAGCAGCGTCTTGGAGCCGCCGGCGTCGACGCGGAACTCGCCGCGCTCGGTGAAGTAGTCGCTCTCCTTGATGTCGTGCGGGTGCTCGCCCTCGGCGATGCGCACCATCCACAGGAACTTGTTGATGTCGTCGCCTGAGTAGCCTGGCGAGCGGAGCGGGCAGTCAGCGGCGTACGCACGGCGGCCGGCCACCGCTCGGACCGGCACCGGTCACGCACCCGATTGGGACCAAGTGTCACTGCGGAGCACGTGAAGCACATGTTCAGACAGTGCGAAGGTGTAAGGGATGATACCGAGGCGCCTGAGCGAGAAGACACCATAGGGGACGATCGAAGAGTAGGTACGTACAACAGTTCAATGCTATTTCATAAGTCCCCGCGGCCAATCGTCTTTGAAGTGTCATATGAATGAACAGTTGAGAAATGAAATGTTTCAGCCAAAATAAAGAAGGCTTAGGGAGTCATCGTCGAAGGCCTAGTATTGCAGAAATGTGCTTAGTCACAACAGGGCCACCCCAAGGGAACATTTACGTTAAGAGGACGTCATCATTAGACTAAGAACCACAGGGCAGCCAGATCGCATTTGTTCTGCAAGAGGGTAGCAGGGTAGCATCTGCATCACTGAATCAAGTTGCTTGATACAATCGTCACGATTACCTTACTCAAGTGTGCTTGAAAATGCATACACAGGTACTTTAAAGAAACGAAGGCTTTTACCATTTAGAGATTCAAGCTTAGAAGAAATCTTTCCAAACCTAGGTGTTTCTTGAAATAAATTTAATTCAGTTATCAACTTCGGTCATTGCGGCACCTATATTCTATGTCTGTGTGTTTCAAACACAACGTAAAATGTTTGGGGAGAAATTTACACCCGTTCATCGATTTTCAAATCTGTATGCCTTGTGCTCGGCGTGAGCCCATGTCATTGTCAGCTGTCGTGGCGGTCTTCAGCACATCGATATCAAAATCCTATCGATCCTCCAAACCGCAGGGATTACACCGCTTCCATCCCACTGGTCGTCTTGCTGATACCAGTGCATGTCATGAGCATGCAAAAGCGCAAGACTTTAGTAAACGATTTCTGAAATCTGTAGAGATGACCAGCTCTTGTGGAGCCAGCCTCGGGGCATCGAGCAAGGACGGAAGGGTCACAATGGAACGCGACACCAAGCGAGACTCGAAACGTTCCCAGCCAAAGTGCCGGGCATGAGCCACCAGCAGTATCCTTGATTGACCGTCCAGTGCCAACTTGATTGTCTCGATTGTCCTCACGTGTCAGTCCCATGCGCGCGTCTCGTACGATAATGGCCCTAATGAGCGCGTTCGCGGCCACTATGAAGCTGACTGCCCTTCCCCCCCCCCCCCCCCCCAACACCGGGGGCGCCCGGAATGCGACTGACCGATGACACCGCCGAAGATGACTAACACGTAGTCGACATCCAGCGCCGTCATGATCTCGTAGGCGGCGCTCTCGTTGGACGACATGGCCTTGCCTACCTGCGGGAGGGGTCAGGAGAGCACGGGTGAGGCCCCGGCGTCGGGTGACGCACGCGCACAACACGACAGCCACTCCGTACGCCCGCGACGGTGAACAGCGCCCCGCCATCCGCGGGGATACTGTCAGCGAGCCTGCCGGCCGCGCAGGCCGACACCAAGGCCGGGCAGAAGCCGCTCATGCAGACCACGTCGCTGCCGTGGTGTGTGCGCACCGTCATACCACCTAGACCTGCCGACTCCTAGAAGTTCTTGTCCAAAGTCTAATTCAAAGTCATAGGGTGGACCAGCTGTCCGTCACAAGTGTCCAAAGAAACACGGTTGTTCACATATTTGCAACCTTTCTTTCACATAACTACCACATGCAACCAATAGCCCCATAACTATTCGTGTTGCTCATTCCCTAGATCAAATGGAATGAAAAGAAAGAAAATGATCACGATTAAGTAATTTGCATTTACAATAAGAAAGTTGAGATGTATGCCAGTTTGTAATACGACAGAATATATCCGCTGGCCCAAAAATCCCACAGATTTCTGCCCCTGTCCGTCCAATTTCTAAACTGGGTTTGGAAACGTTTCGGAATTCAAAAAAATTGGAATCAAACCGGCAACTCTAACATTAACATTTTCGGATCCAATCCCACAAATGGACACTACTGGGAGGCACATCATACATTCCTAGAGCAATTTTTCGTCCACTATAGTCAAGTACAAAAATGGCCCCAATGGCCCTGCACAAAAACAAATACAAGCTCCCTAAGGACACCAGGATTTGTTAGGCCTTTAACAGTGCATTACGACAGGTCCCTGGTGGGGGCCACCATTCCGACTATCGTTGGACGTCCGGCACCACGGCCAACACGGAGTGCCGCGCTGCCACATGGACGGCGCCACCCGGTCCCCAGCAGCGGGCTCGGCCCCAGCCTCCGGCCGTCAGCGGTCCGCGCTGCCACATGGACGGCGCCACCCGGCCGCCAGCAGCGGGCTCGGCCCCAGCCTCCGGCCGTCAGCGGTCGCGCTGCCACATGGACGGCGCCCCCCGGCCCCCAGCAGCGGGCTCGGCCCCAGCCTCCGGCCGTCAGCGGTCCGCGCTGCCACATGGACGGCGCCCCCCGGCCCCCCCAGCAGCGGGCTCGGCCCCAGCCTCCGGCCGTCAGCGGTCCGCGCTGCCACATTGACGGCGCCACCCTCCCCAGCAGCGGGCTCGGCCCCAGCCTCCGGCCCGTCAGCGGTCCGCTCTGCCACATGACGCCGCCCCCCCGGCCCCCAGCAGCGGGCTCGGCCCCAGCCTCCGCCTCCGGCCGTCCGGTCCGCACCGTCCACACGGACGCCGCCACCCGGTCCCCAGCAGCGGGCTCGGCCCCACCTCCGGCCGTCAGCGGTCCGCACCGTCACACGGACGCCCTCCACCCGGCCCCCAGCAGCGGGCTCGCCCCAGCCGCCGGCCGTCAGCGGTCCGCACCGTCACACGGACGGCGCCCAACCCGGCCCCCAGCAGCGGGCTCGGCCCCAGCCGCCGGCCGTCCAGCGGTCCGCTCTCACCAGCGCTATGTGGCTGTTGTTCCAGGTTGTTGTTGTCGACGAGCGTGGTGCGGTTGGCCATGCCGGCGATCCTGGTAGCCGTAGTCCCACCAGCTCATGACACGCGCGTCTTCCGGCGTGTTCTGCCACAGCCAGTAGTTAGCCCTCGCGGAAGTCGTCCAGGATGTTCCGCTCCCTGGCGGCGGGCCAGATGGACCATAGCTTTGTCAGGTACAGGTCACATAGGAGGGACTGCCAGCTTCGAGCGGTGCAGGCAAAACGCTGGGTAATTACGAAGTTTGACCGCGTAACATTGCAATGAAGAGTCCAGAATATTCCCAGCGAACTGCTCTCTCTACACAATGGTGATTCGCGTACCTACATGCTCGACCGAGACGAAACAACCCGCTTGGCTTGAACGACGGCGCCGCAAAGCGCAAACCTGACCTCAGAGGCCGCACTTGTCTCGGGTTTGAAGCACTCAGAGGACTGGCTGCGGTGCGAGCACGTGAGAGCCAACAGCCGCGCCACCTCGGCATCTCACCCGCCGCTGTAGGAGGCCAGCACGATGCTGGGGCTGGAGTAGGCGTTGCTGGTGACCCATGTACAGTGGACGGCGAACATCATCAGCATCATGATGACGGCCACGATGCTGAGCGTGCGCACGTTCATGCCGAGCCCGTCCGATTCAGCAGACTGGCGCTCGTGTTTCATCTTGCGCAGCTTGCCCGCCTGCCGGGCGCCACGGCGGCAGCGTCAGACGCCGGGCGGCAGCGAAGGGACTCGTGGAACATCGGAGCAGTTGGCATGTCATCTGACACCGTACAGCACTGCGTGGCCGGTGGCGTAGCAGGATATACGTAGCAGAACGGCGCAGTATGGCAGGGAGAACGGCGCAATGGCAGGAAAGGCTGTGCCTCCCTTTCCTCCCAGGGTGAGAGGTCAGCTACATCAGCCTCAGCATCAAAAGCTCGTACAGCCTCAGCAGCTGAGTGCGTCATAAAGCCACAATGACGAAAGTGACGGCAGCACAATATGGCGCGCCACAGAGCTGGCTATGGAGACAAAGTTCAACACAGCACAATGCAGTAAAGAATGGTCGTCCCGCACGACAAGGCACTGAACAGCACCGTGGTGCGGCATGGCACAGCTTAGTACATGGTGCGGCAAGGCAAAGCCCAGAATATATACAGCGCACGCCATCCCCGCCAGCCCAGACGTCAGCTGATGACAGCCAGCCGACGGCAAGTCACCTCCTCCCTCATCAGTGTCAATAATGTCGCGTGATCCGGGGGGCTGGTCGCCCCACCGCGGCACCAGGATCAGCCGGCTTTCCAGCTCACGTGGCCGCCCCCCCCCCCCCCCTGCCTTACCACGCCACAGTAATCACGTGGCTACTAGCCGCGACTGAGAAAAGTTACGTGTCCCAGGGAGTGGCACTCCTAACGCGGGGATGTCCCGCCGCGCGCCGCCTTCGAAGCGCACCGTACCAACCCACGAGCTGGCGCGAGCCACCGGCCGTGTCAGCGTCTCGCTCGGAACAGCGCGCACTTCCCCGAGCCGCCCGGAGCCACGCCCCCGCGCACCTTGTCGTAGAGCTGTTTGCTGCCGTTGGCGGCGTCCTCGTCCTCGCTCTCGCCGGAGGAGCCGTCGCGCTCCTCCTTCAGGTAGAGGCTGAAGAACTGACTGAAGGCGATGGCGGAGAGCACGCACACCACCGGCGTCAGCGTCAGCATCAGGCGCACCATCACGCCGGCGAAGTACACGGCCGAGACGGCGTACAGCACGACTGAAACACGCACGGGGGTTAGACACAGAAGAGACGGCGTACAGCACGACTGAAACACGCGCGGAGGTTAGACACAGAAGAGACGGCGTACAGCATGACTGAAACACACACGGGGGTTAGACACGGAAGAGACGGCGTACAGCACGACTGAAACACGCACGGGGGTTAGACACAGAAGAGACGGCGTACAGAACGACTGAAACACGCACGGAGGTTAGACACAGAAGAGACGGCGTACAGCATGACTGAAACACACACGGGGGGCTAGACACAGAAGAGACGGCGGACAGTATGACTGAAACACACACGGGGGTTACACACAGAAGAGACGGCGTACAGTACGACTGAGACACACACGGGGGTTACACACAGAAGAGACGGCGTACAGTACGACTGAAACACACACGGGGGGTTGGACACAGAAGAGACGGCGTACAGTACGACTGAAACACACACGGGGGTTAGACACAGAAGAGACGGCGCACAGCATGACTGAAACACACGTGGGATTACACACAGAAGAGACGGCGTACAGCACGACTGAAACATACACGGGGGGGGGGGGGGGGGGGGGGGTCAGACACGGCTGAGGCGGCGTACAGCACGACTGAAATACACACGGGGGGAGGCTACACACCGACGAGACGGCGTATAGCACAACTGAAACACGCAAGGAAGGGGGCTGAACACAAAAGAGACGGCGTGCAGCACGACTGGAACATGGCGAGGGGCAGCGGTCACATAGCGCAGATCTGGCACCAACGCACCATACACGGGGCCTACAGCACGACTGTTAACAACGAAGACGCTTCAGGAGACGCTGGCACGTGGCAGCAGCGCGTACGACGCACATCAGGGGCGTGGCATAACCAGCCATCGCTCCACAGCCACAGCGGCGGCGCTCGCTGCCTCCGCCGGCGCCACTCACTGAAGACGCGCTCGTCGTTGATGTTCTTGATGCAGTACCAGAGGCCCACCGGGTAGGTGAGCACCAGGATGTGCAGGTCGAAGAAGAAGGAGAACCAGGTGGTCGGTTGGTGCTCCGACACGGACGCGATGATCGGGATGTGGATCTTGGCGTAGCCCGTGTCCCACAGCGAGTAGAATCTGGCGGCGCGCGCCGGAGCGGTGTGACGAGCGTGACGCAGCCGGCCGCCAGGCGGGCGGTGGCAAGGTCGGTCGTCCGTCAGGTGACGGTACAGCGGCCGCCTGGCGCCCGTTACGAGGGCCGGGGGGGCCGTCGTGCCCCCGTCGGGGACAGTTGTCTCACCTCGAACCCGCTACAAAGGCCGGAGAGCCCACAGCATGTTCGGAGTAAGCATTACAGTGGGCGGCAATAACACAACAAGCACATAACAGTAACTTCACATTATTAGAACTGTGTTCGGTGCCGGACCGAATCCGAGCTGACCTCGTTTTGCAGACGACCATTCTACCCAACCGATCGATTCAGAACAGGGTCCATCCAGCTCGCTACATCCAATATCCCCCCTCCCCCCCCCCCCGACCCAGCCGCGGCCGAAAGCCGGCAGCAGTAGTCCGTCCCCCTCCCCCCGCGTACCGTCCGCTCCAGGGGGCGATAAGGCCGGCGTATGTCAGCCCGACCACCACCAGGAACACGAGCGCCGCCGAGCCGACGGCGCACACCAGGAAGAAGTGGCGCAGCTGCGACCGGCTCACGAACGGCTGCAGGTACTTGAGCAGCGCGAACGCGTTCATCAGCGCGAACACACCTGCCGGCGCCCGGGCGGCGGCGTCAGGCACCAGGCCACAGACCGGCACCGGCTTTCGGAGGCATTGGCAACACGGCCGGCGGCTTTCTGGGGGTGCGCAGCGCGCGTCGACGCGTACCCTTTGTGGAGCAGCGGCAGCGACGGCGATGGTCGCGCCAGCAGGCCGGGGTCACGGCACATGCACGTGTGAAAACTGCGGGCGTGTGGACGCTGCAGCACAGCATCATAGACATGGGTCACCTGCCAACAGCTGCCCACCTGCTGGCACTGGCGCCGCCCGCACCAGCTGACGCGCGACCAGTCACGTCACCGCCTGCAGGCAGCCAGCGCCCACCCCGTCCTCGAGCGCTGCTCTCGACACGGCCCGGCCCGGGTCACACACCTGCTGAGGCCATGTGCTCGCTGGTCCGGATCGGCTGGAAGCCAACGAACGGGATCTGCATCGAGCACAGCAGGCCCAGGATGTAGAACGTCGTGTAGGCCGTGTACAGCCGCGTCGAGTAGCGGCCCATCAGCAGCAGCGCGAACACGTGCAGCGGGATCAGGTTGATGATGAACACATACCCGCCCCAGGCGGACACCTGGCGGCACGTGGACGGCGCGGTCACCACCCGCAGTCGTCATCAACACACAGCACGGTCCCCGCCGGCGGCACGTGGACGGCGCGGTCACCACCCGCAGTCGTCATCAACACACAGCACGGTCCCCGCCGGCGGCACGCGGACGGCGCGGTCACCACCCGCAGTCGTCATCAACACACAGCACGGTCCCCGCCGGCGGCACGTGGACGGCGCGGTCACCGCCGGCGGTCATCACCAACACACAGCACGGTCCCCGCCGGCGGCACGAGGACGGCGCGGTCACCGCCGGCAGTCGTCACCAACACACAGCACAGTCACCACTGGCGGCACGCGGACGGCGCGGTCACTGCCGGCAGTCGTCACCAACACACAGCACGGCCACTGTCGGCGAGGCACGGAGACGCCGTCACGACAGTGAACAGCCGGCCGGTCGACACCAACACGACAGAGGGCTGCTTGCAACGGGTCGCAATGTTCGATTGAGTGGCGGAAGCTGACGTCACCACCGCAGTGTCACCCGACCACCAACGCTACCGCTGACAATCGTCGAAAGGCGTGGATCAAATCATCTATCGTGTGCGACAGAGAACACGGAGTGATGACATTCCGCTGGTATCCCAGCACACCCAGTATACAACCATGTCCCCTGCTGTCATGATCCGTCTCGCCCCACTGCCTCAAAGACATGATTTTAGAGGACACATTCGGTACTCAGGACATTCCGAATAATGCTGCTTCCGTGCTCTGGGAAAAGGTCTTGACTGCGTCCTCCAGCGTCGCTGAATATGAGTTCCAGGTAGGATTGCTAGCATTGGCGATATATCGCTAATAGGCGAATGCCCGCAAATATCAACTTCAGTTCACTATGCCGGACATGTCCCAAAACATCCAAAAGAGCGGACAATGTCACCACTGTTAATACAGTATCTCTCTGCCTAGATATCTTTTGTAAAGCCTGATGTTCAGCACAGCAGACCTAGCGGCCTCTGGAGCCGGACTGTGACAGCAATACTGGCTGGAGACCCACCATGTAGAAGTAGCTCAGGGCGGTGAGGGAGGCCCAGTACACCGAGCCGGTCTTCACGGAGCGCACCTGCAACACACATTGCAGAGTGAAGGCCAGGGTCAAGGCAGGCAAAACATGTTGAACAGAGTTACGACTATGTAAAAATGGTGCACACAGCTGAGAAGAGCCACAGCAGACACACCATGTCTTGATTGATGCGTGGGCTTCGGTTGATGAAAACTGATATGCAGGTTATCACAGTATTGGGCAACAAGTCCATTCCAGATGACCGCGGTCTGAGCTGACTGGGTCACTTGCCAATCATAACTTAAGCACAGGGCCTGTATTTACAAAAAAGGGGTGAAGCATAAGCAGTAAAGGGTGACAAAAGCTATTTTATGCATCATTTGGACTTGCCCAAAAACACACTCACGAAAGCTCACGATACAGACGCATGGCATGTACTCTATGCCAGCCAACTTCCACGCAGTTTTCTCAAAGACGGTGTTTACTCGTACGTCTAGCAGCCGCACTGTCCTGCGCTCCGGGACATGCATCACAGGCAGTGTTCATGCCAATGCGCACCATCCATGCGCCCTGGATATCGGAGCCGCATTCGCCTCAGCCAGCGCCACAACCCGACAGGAGCACAGGGGGCTGGCGGGCCGCCAGAGGGGCTGGCGGGCCGCGGCGGCCACACGTACCCAGAGGAAGTACGTGAACATGAGGGCGAAGATGGCGATGCCCTCGTTGTCGTAGCTGCCGGCCACCGAGCGGCTGATGTAGCCGGGCACGATGGCGATGAAGCAGGCGGCGAACAGGCCGGCGCCGGTGGACCACAGCTCACGGGTCAGCAGGAACGTGGCCACGGCCGTCAGCCCGCTGCAGCAGCCGGCGGCGCACGACCGTCACGGGGTGCTCGCCTACTGTCCGCTAAAGCCGGTACGTAACGCGTGCCAACGACGCCGCCCACACGCACGCACGCACACGTACACGCACACGCGCACACACAGGCAGTAGGGCTTTCGAGCGCTTCGAATGCACGGTCATATAGCGCCCATCACAGACAGGTGGTTGGACGGACAGAACAAAATACACCGACTTCACAGAAACATCGGTGCTGGTTAGAACGTTCCAGCCACCCATGTTCCACAGGTACCGTGCACCCATGTGCACGGTACCTGTGGTGTGACGTCACAAACTGGCGCACAAACACGGTAGACAGAAACGTACAGGCCTGACACCAACGAAAGACGTCAAGACGCCACATCGTCCGCGCAACAACAGGCGCGTCAGTAGACACACGCTGGTAATCGTGACATTGTTCCGGGCCAACAGTCACTCAGTCGTCCGCGAGACGGGGCGAGGATCTCCCAGAGCATGGCCTACAGTGACCAGGTATGCAAGTTGCAAGTGGAAAAGTCGGTAACTTTGCCAGTTGAGTGAGTGCAGCCCCACATTCGTGTTTTTCGGAAATGTTCCCGAATCCGCCAGCGGCTCTTCCTAACGTCCGGGCCAGGGTTCAACCAGCCAACAACCCTCTAAAATTGGCTTCATCACCAACACCACCTTCACAACTGGGCTTAAGCTGAGCTTCCCGCCATGTGAGGTCACTGAGCTGACCTTGTTCCAGAACCCCGCAATACGACATATGCGCGGTTTGTGGGCCCGCCGCAACGCGGCGGCGCCCTGTGCCACTGGTCATCACTTGCAGAGTTCAGCCCGGCGGCGCACGCACCTGAAGATGGGCGCCAAGAAGACGCATACGTCGCGGATGTGCACAGGGATGTTGAGCAGATCGAGCGCGTGGTGGATGAGGCCCGAGGTGAGCATGAGACCCGGGTAGACGGTGCCGCCCACGATCCTGCCCAGCGGGTACCACGCACGGTCGTCGAACCAATTGAGGAAGTTGTAGAAGCCATGCTTCACCATGTACGCAGTGGAGCGGTAGTTAAACCTGAAACACAGAGACCGGGTGATCCAGGGTTGGGTAAAGGTTACTGCAGTATCAGGAGCTGGGCTCCAGAGCTAGTATTTCCCCAATTTGCCACCATGGTTTGGGGGAGAGATGCTCGACTGGATGGCCAGCAGCACCAGGTCAGAGTCCTAGAACACATACATTGTTAGGCCTCACCCACATAAAAGGTCACCTGGCAACAGCCCAATAAGGGCCAATCCAAACCTCAGACAGCCATGCCACAGCACTGTCCATCATAGATAATGTTCTGTAGTCCTATCTAATGAAATAGTGGAGGTGAAGCATTCTAATACACTGGCTGGCACAGTCTGGGTGGTGTGCTCTAGAGACACAGGTTCAGACACCTCAAGGGTACCTCTACACCCCCTACATCACAATGCTGCTCACACAGTTGGTTGTGTGGTGCATATCAAAAAGCTAACATCTAAAAATCTGACAGATAACAAAACTCAAGCTTGAAAGTGGTGTGATTGATGACAAAATAGACATATTTTGTTTTGTCAAACTGATGACAAACTGAAATCACCTCAGTTAAAACATTGACATAAACAGGAACTACAATAATTATTTCATCATAGATGTCTATATAAAACTACACAAGCAAAAGGGCTGCAAAAGTCCACAACAAAATTATTTCTGAGGAAGGTGTGCATATGCCAATGCCCCTACGACTAGTCAGCACAGCTAATGACCGTGAGGCAGCTGAAGGTAATAGAGAATTATTTCAGTATTCAATATGACTGAATGGTGACTGCTTTTCTTGATATCTTATGTCAGATACATCTAATGCAAAGTTCATACACTGACAGCATCATTTGTTAATGATGCAAAACACACAGAATGGTATGGAACATTTCAGATCCATTTGTATTTGATTTGCAATGGAAAAAGTATTAACTGGTTACACAATCTAATCTATTATAAGCCCAATGCATTAAAATGCTATCCCTGTTGCTAAGATTTCATTCATGCATCTGTTCTACCCTCAATATAGAACAAAAAGACAACTTGATATGGTCTGAATAGGGAGATAACAGCATTGTTGTAGGAATCATTGGCTGTTATTATGTGACAATGCTTAAGGCTGGCTGAGGAAGTCAGACACCTTTGCAACTTCCATTAATAGATTTCATCAATGTATCAAAAAGCATACTGATCATAAAAAATTGAACGGGTGGAGATCTGCTTGCCAAGGATTTCCATGCCAAACCACACGAAACATTGCTTAAAAGATTGTCAGATGAAAATAACCTCCATGATAAAATTGCTGCATAGCCCAAGCAGGCAACACATGAGTGGCGGTTTCATGGAGCAATATACTTGGCATGCCGTGTGAGCTTCAAAATCATATGGCCAACTGTTCATGTTTAAGCTATTTCCATCATTTCCAACATCAAACTGAACATGCAATTTTCATTATATCTTAATACAGCATGACTTTTGCCAGTCAGACTTCAGAAAATATTTTTAAACACTGTCTTGGCCATCATGACAGACATAATCAGAAATTTTAAAAGTGGGGGCAATTGTCCAAGACTAGGTGAACTCAGATCTCAATTGCAACTGGTGCTGTCATTACACCATAAGCAAAGAGCTTAATTTTCACAAAAGTTTGTAGATCGTTTTGTAAGTCCTTCCCCCCTCCCACACCTCCACAACCACTACCCACACAACTCAATGCAGGTTTGGGCACCTAATCATGCAATCGTAATGTGAACAATAGCCATGTCATTATAAAGCCAACATCTTAAAGAAAGGAAATACTTTGGGTGATTTCAAAACGTTGTGTACAATCATTAACGTACTTGATTCACACCAAAAAAGCGCATTTTTAATAGGGTCTTTCATAAAACTAAACGAACCATGTGCGGCACAATCGTATACACACCATGGGTCAAACTCGTGTATGATGCTCTCGAACCGGATCACTGCAAAAAGGCGACTAGAAAAACCTGCGACACATGCTAATGCCAATATCGCAAAAGTTAGTAGGGTAGTTATCCCTGAAGGGGAATTTAACGCGGATTTCACCGCGGCACCGGCTTTCTTCGCCATGTTGAATTGTTTACGGTGCCAAACTATGAACTCATATCGATGACACAGTAAATGTTATATAAAGTCAGATAAAACCGATATTCAAGCTACTACGTGCAAAGATAAAAAATTAAAATACTATAAACTATAAATATAAAATAGAATATCCCAGGCAGACACAGTGTATAACTTTGCGGACTTGTACGATGGAAAATCGATAGCTTCAATTGGGTCGCCAGTCAGCTGGCCAGCTGCCCGAGTAAGTCCACGTATAAAAATTCCTGCGTCCATTAGTGTATGTTCGTGCTCGTCTCGAGACAAGTTAGCACGATTCTGACTTATTTTTATTCTTATCTCTTTATTTTCTCCGTGATTCATCTCCTTGTTTTTGTGTAGCTTTTGTGTACTTTTTGTGTTTTTGATTGCAGGTCTGCTAATTTAATTTCATGAACTCTTGACAAATCCACGCGTTTCTAACTAATTGACTGTGCTGTCATACTAGTGGTCTTTGATGGACGATTTATGAGATGGAACCGGCTAAAAGCTATTAGGAGTGGTATTTCATAACAAATAAAAATTTTGACCGCAAGCGGCAGCTTTTTATGTTCAGCAAATTCAACACAACGGAAATATCCTGATATGCACTGCTGCTTAGCCTAATACGCCGCAACATCACGCCGCATTTCCCGGTCTTTCGCCTTGCTCTTTCCCATAAACATTGAGCTATCCTGAGTAACAGGTAGGTACCGATGTGGAATGTAGAATGTCCGACTGGACGACTTTTTCTGAAAATGACTTCATTCGTTTCCAATCAAACGGATGAAGCCAAATGCGAGATAACGTTACAACGTGAGCTGCGATTCCGACGGCAGTCCGTTAAATGCAGATACGAAAACATTTTTTTAACGTTCACGAAAACGCAGGGAGGGCACAATGGGTTCAGCGGCGTCACTTTCTAAAGCAGATGAGGGTCTGAATCGAAGGGCTCCAACATTGCCCTAAACCTGATTTTTCCTGGATTTGGGCAATTAGATTGGCGTTCCTGATGTCGAAATTTGTACGTGTACAAAAGTGCGTTCCCGATGTCGAAATCCATACATATTCAAAAGGTGTTGCCAGCTCTTAAAGTTATGCTACAGAGGAACGGCTTCCAATTTTGAGGTGACAAGCTTAGAATGGGGTATAATTGAATGAAAACATCTTCGTAGTTCGAGTCATGATTAACGAGAATAGCTGTCATTCGTCGAAGGTCACCAGAGGCGCAAAAATAGGTTTTGTGTGGAATGATGTGGCCTGGCACGTATGGAAGAGAGCCTATGCAAACTTTCGAGTACAATGCCACCACATGCCTACATGTAAAGTAAAACTGAGATGCGCGACCTTCCCAGCAGACGTGTAGATAACTGGATGTGTGAGGTATTTCATCGGTCGCGATGCGGGACTCGCTTGCCGCTCGCCGTCAGCATTGTGCGCACAAGCGGGAAGGTGCGTGGGCGCCGTCTCGTTCATGGCGCAGGCCGACTGCACCCGATACCTCGCAGTCGTTGGTTTGGAAACCCGTTACCAGGCAGCAGCCACCCGGGCTGTCAGCTACGCCGGAACTGAAGCCGCGGCCGGCCGCTAGGTGGCGGGAACAGTCGCACCCAAGCATCCTAGGTGCCGCAGCTGAGTTTTGCGCGCTCGTGGCACTTCGCACCGTGCCCTCTGCGGTGGGTTCTTGGGGGTGGGCCAGCGGGTGGGACTACACGGCCTTTACGAGGGTTCCCGCATGTGTTTATAAATGTTTGCACGCATAAATTTGACTTGTGTAATTTATGCGTCTGATAATGTTGTATTGGCCACGGTGAATTCTAAGTCGAGAGTTTGTGTTTGGAACTGGGAGGCAGTCTGTTAGGGTTGAGAACTGTTCGAACAAGGTAAATGAGATAACATACAAGTGCAGTTAGCATATCCCCCGACCCCTGGTGCGCTGTCCCGGGGTTGCTCTGCGATAAATACTAAACAAATGTTCGGGCCTGCGCACGCATGCCGTGTGATGGGCGGAGCAAATGTGCATTAATCTGAACCCACGATGCATTGATGTGGCTTATTGGTGCAATATGATATTTCGCGGTAACGGCCAGCGTGGAGCACTGGCCAGCAGCGCGAGAACTGAACAGGGCGAAGTAGGTACAGACTCGCACCCCAAGGGGTCTCCAGAGTGGCTGTCTTAAAGAGAGTGTTCCACATTTGTAAATGGTTTTGAACTGAAAGAGCCACCTTGAGGATGATTCGGTGCAGTTTACAGCCCTTCTCTTTTTAATCCTCTAGTTTCCGAGCGACAGGCCCGCGAAGATATGCAAACTATGTCGTCCAGACTATTTAGAGGTTACCCAGGCATCTGAGACGCGCGGCGTGTCTATTTGCCGTGGGCCACATGCTGCATTTCAGCGTGCGAATAGGTTATTTTTGCGATGTGTGCACTTTTTTGTAATTCCGGGGCGGGCTTAAACAGGTTAAGAAGGTTAACTAGGTTCAGATGTGGTGCGGCGTATCTATCCGCCGAGGGCCATGTGACGTTTTATTTCTAAGGGGCGAGTACGGTTTTTGTTTGTCACGTTTGCCCCGGGCGCTCGTTCCGGACATGCGCGCCAGGACGATTAACGGAGGGCGGCTCTTTAAGAACAGCGACCCCGTCGGAAGCAGACACAGTGAGGAAAGAGAGTACCGAGTATCGTCGCGGTCAGTCATCGATCAGAGTTGGAGTACAGAGTTGCAGTAACACTGTGGGGGAGCCGATGACGATCGTGGTGAGCCGCAACCGTGGACATTCACAACAACGAGCGCCCCCATCAGCCCGGTGAGCAGCGACGGCCTGAGTGCTGCGGCCCCTCCCTCAACCATGTAAACCCGGTGGAGCATAGGCGTAGGAACGTTTCAAAAAGTGAGGGAGGCAGGCTCAGGGTGTACTTTAGAAAATTTTCTGGAAAGCAAGCCCGATGACCGGAGGGGGGAGGGGGTAGAGATGGAGGTTGTTACCACTCTTTATTCTAATGTCATGGTTGCCATGCTAGATATGCATCTGGATCTGTCTCTCACTGGAGCACAATATTGCCTATTGGACTCATCTATGTCATGCGGCAAATGAGGCTATCCAGCTTCCTAACATTATTCGTCCGTTTTAACATTGTCTTTCCTGGAGAGGCGAATTTCCACAAACGGGTAGGCATGTTGGGTCATTGAGGAGGCATGTGCGTCCACAGGGTAGATGCCAAAATATGGCCTGGTCATAGGCTGGTGAGAATTTTGAAAGTAAATCGACGACTCACAGTGCGACAAATCTTTCATGCACCTACATTTTGCTGGCTGCTTTTCGAGAAACAAGAAACAAATATTGTAGCATTTTAGGCGGAAACAAATTCGGAGGTTTGAAATTGCCAAAAAACAGTGCGACAAAAACCATAAAACTGGAGATTCTCTTTAAACCAAGCCACATAATCAAGGTCTGTCTGTCATATGTGCCTTATCTCAGCCCTGCTCCCGTCCGCCGTCGGCGGCCACTGTCCTGGCACGGCTGTCTTGGCATGACTGATTATGGACTGATCGTATGACTGCTTTGTTGCATATTTCTGGATGAGCACTACTACTAATTGTGTGAAACATACGTCGGACACCTGCAACAGTATCTTGTTTTTCGAATTATCTTCCCTTACACCATGCCACCGCGGAAAATAGCCTCCGGGAAGCTGCCTGCCTTAGGTATGAAGTGGCCAGCGGGCATTTCATCGCCCATCACTCAACGTAGACAACTTTACCTGCTTTTGCGTGTAGGCAGGGGCGTAGCCAGAGCCTTGCCAATGGGGAACAGAGGGTTGACAAAAGCCCCTCTTATGGTAACCTCCGAAAATCCCCGGGTATAGTTTACTTGTTAAAAAACGTGGCGGTTTTTTGTTGTTATTTTTACCTTGTAACCAGAACAGAAACCAGCAGCTACCGCAGATCAATTCTAAGCTAGCTACCTAAGCTAATTCTGCTACCAATTCTAAGCTACCTAAGATCAATTCTGCTGGCATTTTGAAGTTAACAAACTGCAGAAACTAGGCGTTGAACGACCGCATGGTATGAATCACCGGCACCCTTAATTTGCAATGGTTTCGTGGACTTTTTCTAAACGATAGAATTCAGAAGCTTTTTCAGAATTTTTATCTCAGTTCTACAGAAATTAAGGACATCGCGAAGGCAGATTAAATCGATGTGTTTGATCTAAATTTTAAGACGTAAATTTTATTGCAGATCGAGTGATCAACAATGTGTATCAACATGGCCGAGCCATGTTTGTCTGGAAATGTTCACCATTCAGTCAGGATCGATTAGTATACAATTTAGGTACCGCCATTTTTTAACATGCGCGCTCGCAAGTCTTAGAAACAAAGACCTCGACTCCAGGCGTTGCAGTCTCCGTGGGACGCGCCGCGTTGGCCCAGTGGCTAATATTGAGCTGCGGCCAGCGGGTGGACAAAAATGATGATGCTTCTGAAAGAGGTATCTTTGAAAGCTTCATGACACCAAATCCTATATTTAGAAGACAGTCTGGGCGCATATTTCACGCGTGCGATTTTTAAATTGATGATAAGAACAGATTGGCCCTTAAAGCACCGAGAAGTGGGCTGGAATTTGGTGGTTGAACTGGAAGAGTAAAGAAAGAGTCTCTATTTTTCGCATTTCTGCAACTTTTTATCTATCCGGAAGACAGATTAACACGGCGCCCGCCGTCTGGTGGCACTTGCAGTAGCCGAAACCGTTCGGTTTTACGGAAGCTGTAGCCCAGGCCCTCGTTGTCCTTGCCCTCGATGTTGCGGGCAGGCATGTTCAAACCTTTTGATGTAATTTGTTTCACTAATCCATTCTGGAAAAATGAATGTTCTCAGGCAAACATGGGATGGTCTTATTTGTTTTTTAAAGCCCATTTTGACCCACGTTATACAACATTAATAGTACCCCACTCCACTCAACAATAATGAGACCCCTTACTTCCTTCCGGGCAAGGGGTAGAACACCAGAAGACCAGAACTGAGTAGAA